CAAAAAAAAAAAAAAAAAAAAAAAAGATAAAATTAGGGAGGAGGGGTATCACACAAAGGGCAGGTATACTAAAGAGTCTACAACCTTTTAGAGTACTTTAGATGAGTGCTTACCGGCGTAAGACAGTGCTTGTTATGGAACCATACATGAACAGGGATCATACTAATAAACCTGACTGTTCTGAAGTGTTAACTGCACGTCATTCTGATTTATTAAAATAAGGCTTCTATTAGACAACCATAGCAATTTGTGGGTCCTCACAGCTGCTGGATTAACTGGACCATAGATAACCTGAAGGGATGTCTGGGTTTGGATTACTCTTAGCCTTATTTGGTAATTTTTGCTATAAAACCAAAATATACTGTATTTACCATAAAAGGGTTGAGTGACTCCGTGATAAAAGTTCAGTGTTACTACTAATTTCAATTTGAGCATGTTTTTTCATGAAATTATTAAGTTGACCGAAACAGTTTAAAAATGGAAGAAAATAAATGGATTTAAAAATCAGTCATTTTGAGAAAATAAACTAATTATTAGTACGAACGTCGGAGCCAGACAGTAACCAAGACAGAGAAACAATAACGAGAGGCTCCGAACATGGAAAAATGGTTCATAACACAGTGAACTGTTCTATACAGAGGGACTTACTGGACTGAGGCTTAAGTTTCTCAGTAGCGGAGATGACAAGTGTTGGTTTCATGATTATGCACATTACCTTAAATGCGCCCATTTTGTCTGCAGAGAGAAGAAACCCTGCTCCATGCTCACACACCAAACTATCATGGCCGTTTGTCCTGGACAATGTAAATTAAATAGTCTGTCACTGCCACCAGGAAAAATGCAGCAACATTCCATGGACAAAGCAAGCAGCAAGATATTGTATAAAACGGACAGGGATGAGATGCAGATGGCTTACTTTTAGTTGCCTCCCCGTTGCAGATCTACACCTACAGTTGCTGACTCTATCACACATCCTCTCTAGGTCTCAGTTTCTGTAACTATAACATTAGGAAGATTTCTAAGGTACACGGTATCTGTAATACTTTAACGTATAAAACTTAAAAATGTCAAGAAAGAGATCAGTGAGAATCTCAGTAAATGCCCAACACTCACAAGTCATCCCCGAGCAGCAGAAAGCCCAGGCTCATTACTCCACGGGTAAATATGGAGAGTTCCCCCTAGGCTCACAGAACAGATCAGAATTAGACCAGTTCTATTTGGGGTTCCTCCCAAGTTATTAATACATGAGTAGCAAACAGCATTAATGATTTGAGAAAAGGAAGTCTTGCTGCCAGTGAAAAGAAGGGAGAACTGAGTGCAAGGAGAATAACCTAATACCAGGACAAGAAAACACTGTGATCTGGGGTCAGTTGGCATAGAGACAAATGGGCTTAAACACCTCTACCATTATGTTACAGTATGGTTCAATACCTGGTATTTGTAATGATAGCCCTCAGGAACCAGGAGAAATTAAAATTATGTCTGCTGTACTCTATTTAGTACGGCAAGGCAACAGTTTTGATTAATACGGTTTTGGCTAATGAAGTCCACTTATCTGTAAATATATATGTCTCAACACCTAGCCCCCAAGGGAATGTTGCGTTGCCAAATGAGAGAGGTCTCTATAAAAGCCAATTGTTCTTCAGACAGTGAGTGACATCTTTATACACACAGCAGAAATAAAGGCAATGGGAGCCCATCCTGTGAATAAGCTTCAACTGCTGTCGCTTTGTTTATAAGAGCAATGAAATGAATATAGTAACAATGTCATCTAACATAACTCTAAAGGACCCAGAATATTTCTCCATTTAGAAAGATGCCCACCCCATGAGGATAAAAGAAAACACTGTCTAAATAGAAATTGTGGTTTTATTTTTAAGTCTAAAATTTGGTTATATTAAGAAAATTCTGGTTGTGTCTACGCAATGAGAAAACCATAAAACAATTTTGATATCAAAACATTCAGTTATACACTGTGCTTCAGTGTGAACCACTGGTGCTCAATAAATAACTGGTTACACTTTGTTCTACAGGAGAGGAACAGAGAGTAGGCAGTTATTCAAACCAGTAAGTCATTTATCCGAATCTAGAAAAATGCTGGGCTCTTCGGACCTCTTGGAATCCTAAGATATCCCTATGGGCTTTAAATGAAAAACCAACAATAAATGTTTCTTCTAAGAGTGTACACCTCTTACTTCAAAGTCTAAAAACTTTTCTAGATTGTGTCACAATGGTATCATTATGCCAAGTAAACGCTCATATAAAGGCTTTCCCTTAAGCCTCCACATTGTCACAATATTGTGAGTCTCCAGCAGCCCTCTTTGCATAGCCTGCTCAGAAAAGCAGATGGCAGGAACACCTGCCGGTACCACAGCAACACAAAGGCCAGAGACAAGTTGCCACAAGCCTACACAATGGCACTTATATTGCAACCAGTCAAGTGGCCACTTGCCATTCAGAAAGCACCCTAAAAATTCTGTGCCACTTTAATCAACATTCAGCCACAGCCATTTAGGCCAACTGTCTATAGCACGATGGAACCAGAATTCACTGAGATTCCTCGCCTGAGGATCAGTCCTCAGCATCTGGAACTAAATCCTACTTCCTTCTAACTTTCCTTGGCTAAATTCCCTTAAGGTGTTTTGTTTTTCAACATACCAAAGTAGAAAACTATTTACTAAAATAATGCTGGTAAAAGCCTTAAAACATATGGGAGATAAGATGCCTACAAACAATATACAGGTATTTCTACTCAACTACAATTGACTAGAATTTATTATATTATAGTGCAGAAAGTCTTTTGGGAAACTCAGAAAGGCAAATTTTTAATTAACCAGAATAAAGACTATGACCTATTTGAGTTTTTTTTTTTTTCTTTTAAAGCCACATACCTAAAACCTCATGAGATAAGAAAAGTCAAGATCCTGATCTATTTTTGGCTTAGACATTTAGAGTATAACTACGGCCAAGCTAAGCTGTTAAGTACCTCCTTTGGAGAAAACAAGCTGTATTGCACACCAGCGTGGGATGTGATGGGGCTGAATCAAAGACCCGCATCATCAGATATTTTGAGCATGTCAACAAAAGCTGGCAAAAAGCAAAGTGTTATTTAATAATCTGCACATCTGATCACAATTCTTAGGAAAAGCTGTAAAGAGGGCTAATTAAATTGATGAATCCCTCCCCGTTAGATTGAGCATTCATACTCCTTCCATTCAATTTCCTGTCCATAGAGGTCTATTACCTCCCACCACCGCATAAGGAAACCCCCTACAATCACATCTTTAGTACTTACATTCAAAGCATTCTTTGCAGCTTCTGCTTCTGAGCGACTGTCAAAACTGACAAAACCTACAGGCTGAGGAAAGAAAGAGAAATATGAAGGAAAAAAATTAGGGGATGTCTATTTTTTTGGATCAACAATGCTGTCAAACTGAAGAGCTAAGATAAAGATATGACCACAGGCAATGGTAGAAATAAGAAAGCCAGTATCAAAGAATCATGACTCAGTGGCTTAGCCAAATTTCTAACATGAACCAAAGGGACGGTGAGGGTAGTTCTCCAAGAACACAGCCGGGGATTTAGAGAATCAAAAAAATCTAGAAGTGGTTGGAAGGTGAGTAGCAGTGAATAAGGGAATAGAGGAAAACTTGGGTCTGAGAGGCTCCAGTTTCCTAAATCAAATTCACTGTACCTCAGTTTCTTCATCTTTTAAAATGGAAAGAGAACCAAATTACCTTTTGGTACACTGTTAAGTGCAAGGAATACAATGACACAATGACAAAAGCCCTGTACTCTCACTGCGTGACCAAGATTACAAAGTGACCGTTTCCATTTCAAATCCAAAGAAATGTCTTTTTAAAAAATTCTGTGTTTAATTAGGCATGTAAATAAACCACACCGATCCATGTAAGTAGAGAGGGGTGGTAATCCCTTTGGACTCTGTATCTTTCAGTCCACAAGGGTGCCTACCACATAGCTTATTTCTGATACACCAGAGAAATGAAAAGTGACTGAGAGGTGAGTATGCCGAGTGTTCAGCTTTTAAAAGGAAAAAAAAAAGAAAGAAAGATAAAAGAAAAAAAAAAGCATATAGTTAAAAATCTCCAAGCAACTTGCAGTAGCTATTAGGGTTACTGATTACCACCTCCATTCTGTACCTTCTATGATCCGTTCTAGACTTGGGAAGCTGCCTGTGGTTATTAGGGGTTTGAGAGACAGCATGACTCTTCACCATCTGATATTCATATCAATTGTACAAGTTTGCCTGTTTAACCTCATAAAAAGAAACAGGAAAGAATTGGGAATAAAAGTAAATTTTGATAGTAATTCATCATTTCCTTTGAATAAACAAATTAATCTCAATATAAGTATTCTGGATGCATTGCCTTTGCCTTCCTCTGGGACAGTCCCAGACATCCTAGCTGGAGACTATGGAATTACAAATAATTTTTCTGTGCTTATTCCTAATTGATTGCACCCTTAATTTTAAAGTAACAACAACAAAAAATCAAATACTAATGGGAATTTTAAAAATAATAATGTTGAACCCCGGTAACATTCTTAAAGAAAGTCAAAAAGTGATCATTTATCAACAAGTTGGAAGTTCTTACCTGCTTAGATGTGAGCTTTATAAGAGAACCCTCATAGCCCTAAAAGTAAAGAAGAACCAAGTTTAGCCAAAAAAGAGTACTAGGAGAGAAGGTAGTTTGTATACTATTTTGCTCAAGTAAAAATAAGTTCTTTATGAGTAGCAAATATTTGGCTCTTTTCACAAATGCATCCAAAGTTAACTGGGAAAACAATTTATGCACACACCTATTTGCATACTTAAGGCCTAAAAGAAATCAAGCCCTGAAATTCATGAATTTATCTGTTTCTCTTCCTTATATTTTTTTTCATGAAATTATGCAATCGTAGGAAAATGGGTGTCTCCATCAACAGCAGATTTTTGTTTTCTTCGTCCAGAGATGAACAGGGATTTTATAGAATTAGGAGAATGAAAGGGTAAATTTAATAAGATATGAAGGTCAGTGTATGTGTTGACTTGGTCATACATTTGCTGTAAAATAACAACAATGAAATATTAAAGGCTGGCTGATTAACTCAGTTGGTTAGAGCACAGCCTTGTTTGCAACACCAAGGTCAAAGGTTCAGATTCCCATACTTGTCAGCTGCTCCCCAAAAAACCATAAACAAAAACCTTTAAGAATATATACAGGTGGAACTTACTGATCAAAATTTCAAAAATGCCAGAAAAGGTTAAGTAGGCAGTGATAATGAATTTTGCTGAGTTCTTTTGCTTACTTATTGAAACTGCCAGTTTTCATGTTGGTATCTGATTGGGACATGCAAAAATCCCTGTGGGATTTTTACTCCAGCTCATCCTTGAAGAAAAAAGAAATACTCCCTTTCACCCCCTCTCTTTACCCCTCTGGCTCCTCAGGACAAGGGTAACAAAGTATGTTTATTTCTGAAAATAACCCATGGCAGTTGGCTTGCACTGACAGATGACACGAGAGGGGAAAAAATACCACTTAATATGATTGACCACTACACATATCAGTGTAGAGACAGATTTGCAGACTAGGGTCGGCCTCCAGGAACCTTAATTAAAAGAGGGCTGTTAAGAATGAACCAGGTCCTGACTTTAGCATTGAAGTTTCTGGGCAGTATGTTGGGATTGATTCATCCTCACTTCTTTCCCAGCAGAGAACTATGTTACCAATTAGCTACTAAAACATTTTACCTCAAAGGCCTTGAGCTCTTCTGACCAGAAAAGTCATGATTCACAGCCCTGTCTCTTCCCTTTTTCAAGGTGCTCTCTTCTGAAAAACCTGGAGGTTTAAACACCCTGAAGGCCTCAGAGGCAAAGGACAAATGGATATTTCACTCAAGCAAACTGCTGCTGGTAGGGATATATTGTGTTCCCAAGTCACAAATAGAGACGCAGAATAGCATAATAGTTTATAACAGGGATGGGAGAGTTTGAATCCTGGCCCTGCCATTTATTATGTGTGGAAACTTGAGCACAATTTAATCAACTGTTCCAAGCTTCATTTTCCTCACTGAAAAAAGGAGGCTAACCCACTTCAAAGGATTGTAATGATCATTAAATGAGATAATTCACATGAGCGGTTGCTGGCTGAATCTCCTTCTCTATATACATACAAAAGCATAACAGTATTTTGTCCATTAAGATCAATTAGCTCAAAAAGTCCTAATCGTATAAAAGGGACAGGAAACTGTCCCTTTTATAAAACTACAACCCTGCTGAATAAACTCAGGAAATTCTATAAAGTTGGCATCTCTCCACAATACCTTCTCTTCCTTTCCCACTTCCTCTCAGTTAACCTGTGTCTAACTTTCTCTTTCCCTCTATGCTGTCGCAACCCTGCTGAATAAACTCAGGAAATTCTATAAAGTTGGCATCTCTCCACAATACCTTCCCTTCCTTTCCCACTTCCTCTCAGTTAACCTGTGTCTAACTTTCTCTTTCCCTCTATGCTGTCGTCATCATGGTTGCATTAAGGGGGTGGCTATCAGAATGGAGTTCTGTCCACTACTACATGGTGCCTTCCTGGCATATAAGCTAGACTCTATTTTATCTTTGTTAGTTGTAACTGGCTGCACCCTCAACCCTCTTCCCTGCTCTCTAACCCAAGTATTTTTTCAGTTGTCACATCTTATCCCCTGTCCCTCTCACACTGGGATCCTACTTCAACAAGGATGGATCTTTACCAGATGTCAAGATTGCCCATCACCTAATCCTAAGTGTGGCCCCTGCCAGTTACTGCTGCTGACATCTCCACCACGGGACAGGGCATTTGAAATATATATTTATAAATTAAGTAATTTTTAACTTTTTGGTGATCTGTACTCAGAAGTGTACCCCCAATTGGAGTAGGACAAATGGGAAGGACACTAAGGCTGTTGTAGGAGGAACAGAGACAGTTGGGGCCAGTCACATTTCCACATCAGTAAGATAAGAGTCTTCTCTAGATGAGCTGTTGGAGGCCAAGAGGCAGTATCAGTCTAGTATGTTAAGTGAGACTATACGTTAGAACTCAAGTTGTTAGATCTTCTTTACTCATTAACCTTTTTTAAACCATCACTTTACAAGATGTTTTCTTAGACATTTCATTTCTTCCTCCAAAAAACCCCACAAAGCATGCAGTACACAGACTACTTTTCATCTCTTTTTACAATTTCTGAAAGATAGAAAAGTTACCTTAAATGGTCTGAAAAGCAGATAGAGCTCCCGAGGTTTGATATCCAGAGGGAGGCCACTGACAAATAGGGTACGGACCTGGAAAAATAAATATAAGAATTGATCAAGGGTGTGAATCACTTGAAATCTCAAAAACATATTTTTCAAAATATTCCATGACTTCTACCAAATTCACTTTTTCTGCATGACATAATGAATACTCTAATGTTAAGATGTCATTGAGCCAACTTGAGTATTTCTATATGGATTATTCAGAGTGAATTACATCTCGATGATTTAAATTTACAAATTGACTTTCCCTTTCCCAACTAGCCACTGGAATATTATACAGACAATAAAATGAAGTTCAAGGAAAAAACATATGTAGTTCAGTTTTATTCCATAAAGCAGCCAACACATATATGTATTTGGAGAGGGAAAAAGTATCTTATAGGATATATAACCAAATGTTTATATTTATATGATTTAGCCCTGAGTGGTGAAATAAGTGATTTTATTGTTTTTCATTAGCTTATTTTTCCCCCATCTTTCTGTAATAACATGCACTAGATACTGTAAGTTTATTTTGTTGGGTGGAGAACTGATTTACCACCTTGCATTCTATAGGAAACTAGAAATAACATCAATATAAATTGCAAAGTTTATAGAGGAAACTCTTTCTTATGAAATATTCTAGAATGAGAAGCGAAAGATTCTTATCTTAGTGTCTTAATAGGAAACTGTTATGCGTGGGAAAAAACCTAGCTCCTGTTAGGCCTAAATTTGCCACTTGCTCATACAGCTCAAGAGGCTCAAAGCAACTGTTTTGTTCATCAACTTGGGGGCAGCTAAGACGTTTGGCATTTCATTTAAACATGGACAAGACTTAACATTTCCTAGAATCCAGGGAAGCCCACTATTGTCTCAGAAACCTGCCATAACATGTTATCTCTCACTGAAGACATTCTTTCCTCTGACAGAACAGACTGATAAGAAGAAATAATTCTTGACTATTTAGATTATATATTTGAGTCCAACTAAAGGTCACTTAAATCCAAGAGCATAACATGCTTAGAATCCTTTCTAGACCCCCTCAGACCAGTAAACTTCATTAAGTTAAAAAAAATCATTGATAATGAATGGAAAAAATAACTCTTCCTAAATATCTAATTCATACTTTTCTATAGTGACTGGGGACTAGACTCGTAGGGATATTTGAAGACAATTTTGTTTACCCTACTCGTCACACCACCACTTTTCATCTGAGCCATTAAACAGCAATGCACTTCTGGGTTTTGGCTTTGTTAAGTCTACGGAAATCACAAAAATAAGACGATTCTTGCCTGCAGGGAGCTTATAGTCAGTGAAGGAAACTGAATATATAAATGACCATCTGTGATAACAGAAAACTTAGCTCAACCAATTACAACCCGAAAGGTGAGACGAAAGCTAAGATGCATGTAAATCCATAATCAAATACTCATAAAAACTGTCCCACCAAAATAAACAAGTGAACGGCACCAAATGAACTTTGTGGCAGGTCAAATCATTATCCAGGGCAGCCCTTAATTTCCCCTCAGGGTCTCTGAACACAGATGTGCCTGGCACTATGCCTTTAGCATCCACTGATGTTCACTTTATCAACACATACGTAAACACCTTTCTTGTCAAGGACACAACATGCTTCAAAGAAGTTCGAGAAATGAATCTGCTGGCAGCTCTATCCCAAAGTGACTCAAATTTTGTGCATTTACCTCAAACTTCGCTTTTAACCCGACAGGACTGAAAGAATGAATGCTAGTAGAAATCACCCTGTGTGGGACTGAAGAGCAAGCATGTTCTTGGCTCAGCCACTATCTAGCATTCCTGCAGAGGCCTCAGTTATATTTTAGATAAAACTGGCTATGTGTTCTTAAACGGCCCTGCCAATTCCGCCAGGAAAGACAAGCCACTTTTCAGTGTCTGACTTCTCATTTAATAAACTCCAATTCAACAAGTAAAGATGCTGTGTTAGTCTTGAGCTTCTCTGGATAGAAACAGAAATGCCTGCCAATTCCGCCAGGAAAGACAAGCCACTTTTCAGTGTCTGACTTCTCATTTAATAAAGTCCAATTCAACAAGTAAAGATGCTGTGTTAGTCTTGAGCTTCTCTGGATAGAAACAGAAATGGAAAGAAAGGTCCTATCTTGAACAAAGAACATGCCTTATCTTGTTGTAATCTAGACATGAAAATAAAAAGCAATAAAAAAAATGCTTCAGTATATAGCAGAGAATAATCACATACACTTTTCAACCAGTGACCACATCTGGTAAGCACAGTATCCAAAGACTATAGGTATTTTCTGTGTATATTTTAGTTGTTTATAAAAAGATTTTAAGGATCATCTGTAGCTGCTCTAAATTGGCCTTCTGAGGTTCCTCTTAAATTCATAAAATTGGGAAAGATAATTTCTCATTTTCTTATGACTCATGTGTAAACTGTGTATGGTCACTCATTTGAAACATTCTATCAGTAAAACCCATGGTGGTACATCTACGTTCATCTATCCTTGTGCAAGCTCTCTCTCAATCTAACCACATTCTTTTATGTACAAATATAGACTCCAAAGGAAGATTTCAAATGTGCTGTGTATTTAAATCATTCTTTTGGAGTAACCATTCTTTAAAGTACACAAGTGAATTCACAGATAAGATCTTTCTGAGGGTGTTTTAGAGTCCAAGGCTCTTTTTTGTAGTGAGTAGCACAGTCCTAGGCACAGAATGTATGCTCTACAAATATCTCGACTGATTTAGAAATCTACAGTATAACATTGTGTATATCCATAGGAGATATAAGTGTCAGCAGTTCTGGTGATGACATGGCAAACAAAATGAGGTGACCACATTTCCCAGTCACAATTTTATCAGTGCAGTTACCTCATCAACTGACAAACACTCATACGTGGCAAAAAGGTAGAAGAGATTAGTATTATGAGGCAGAAGTTAAGAAGAGGAATAAGAGAAATGAGACCAAAAAAATCAGTATCTGGTGGGGGGAGGGCTGGCGGGTTACTTCACTTATTTAAGAGCATGGTGCTGATAACACCGAGGTCCAGGGTTTGATCCCTCTTCTGGCCAGGTGCCAAAATCAAAAAACCAAGAAACCAAAGGACCCAGAGAGAAAAATGACAAAGGAAAGATACAGACTGAAACAGAGAAAATAGACCACAAAAAAATTCAGGACCCATTAAAAAGGACAGTGATCAATAGATGGTAACTAGTAAAATCGCATTTCAACCCACGATAATTTAAACTATACTTAGGTATAAATAAGCCCAATTTCAACAAATGTAAATTAGTAATTAACAAATTTTTTGAAAAGATGCTCAAACTCACTAACTTGCCAATTTAAAATGGTGAGTAGATATCTATATCTATGACACGGAACAAGGTTTATGATTATTAAGTGAAAAAGCAAACACCGTGAACTGCCCATATTCCCAGTTTAATTCTTTTAGTGTTTCTATAAATTTGCTTAAGAAAAAAGAGGCATTGATGGAATATATAACAAATTACCTTTATGTTAATAGTAGGGAGGAAGGTAAAATTGCAGAGAACTTCATTTCATATATTTACACATTTTGACATTTAAATATTTATAAGCATAAACTACTTCTTTAAAAAAAGAGAGAAAAAAACAAGCCTAAATGGATCTCCTTCCTTTGAAATTATAAACCTTGGATCCTGCCTGTCTACTTAAGTCCTTAGAAATTTTCTCATTTTCCTGCCTGTCCTTGATCCATAGGGATAAGTTTGATCTAGCAAAAAAATATATTCATGTAACTTGCTTCACATTTCGGTTCTGACCACAAGTCAGTGTTTCTTATTACTCACACCTCTAAAACAAGAAATCTAACCAAAAAAAGATACTGGTGACTCTAAGGTAAGGTCCCAGGAGCAGGACCATCCTGGTTTCAGTCAAAGGGGTTGTCTTACTCTGTGACCACCCTACATCCCACTAAGACAAGAACAGAGGGATCACTCACTCTACAACATCTAAGGAATTGCCATCTCTTTTCTGAGAGACCATGTAATATAAACTTGGTTTCAGGGACTGAGAAGTTAAAAAGAATTCCACATATCTCTACAACATAAATCCTACTGAGCTGGGTTATTGTAATACAAAAGGGGGGTGGTAATCAGAGTCCTGCGTATGTTTCACACACTGGTTACATTATTTTACTCTTTTAAAATAAACTGTAAGTGGATTCAGTTCTTTGCTTATTTCATAGGCACCAGCTGAAACACCAAACAGGGTTCACAACGACTGAACTATGCCTAGAACGGCTGGTCATCTCATTTCCAAAGAAGGCTCTTGTTGGCTTGGTGTGATTTTCCATGCATCTCTTGCCACCATGAAAATGAATTACATAACCATTAAAATGGTCTGCCAGGCATTTGATTCTGGTGACAGCTCAGTAGAGACTGACCTGCCTTTGGTCAAGCTCCAGTTTCTTGTTGGCACTGGCTTCAAGATGGAGCAGGTGGTCAAGTGCTTTCTTCCTGACAATGGCCATCTATTCAACTTAAACACTTCTTCCTTTTCTGTGCCCCTGGAAGGTATGTTTTGGTTCAAGAGGCCAGGTTGCTACAGACACCAAGGACTGACTACCCACAGGATATAAGGGTCACTATGCTGTTGTTACAAACTTCCAAGTTTGTTATAGTTTAAAATTGATAATTGTTCTTTCCTTTCTAAAGGAAAAAGGCACATAATTATCTACAATGTAGGACTTTCTATTTTTTTTTTTTTAAAAAGATGACCGGTAAGGGGATCTCAGCCCTTGGCTTGGTGTTGTCAGCACCACGCTCAGCTAGTGAGCAAACCGGCCATCCCTATATGGGATCCGAACCCGTGGCCTTGGCGTTATGAGCACCGCACTCTACTGAGTGAGCCACGGGCCGGCCTAGGACTTTCTATTTTTGAAGGATCCACTAGTGTTTGCCCTAAGTGATAGCTGGCTGATCCAATCTGTAGAATAACCAAATTCACTGAGTGAGCCACGGGCCGGCCTAGGACTTTCTATTTTTGAGGGATCCACTAGTGTTTGCCCTAAGTGATAGCTGGCTGATCCAATCTGTAGAATAACCAAATTTATACTAATTTAGGGCCTATGGAAACCAGGTTCCCTTGACAAAAGTTTGATCAGAAAGTTTCCAACAGGATCACGGAAAAAAGGAAGACTATTGGGAGCATGCGTGGAAGAAAGAGGAACAACCATGTTCCCTAAACTCATATACACAGGGCCTGAGCACTGCTCAGAACATGCACAGGAAATAGGGACAGCAAGTTAGTACTGGTACACCAACCGTATCACTATGTTCAGTCTTCAAGGAGTCTATCCAAACCCAACCCACTGTCGATTTGTAATCACATGGTTTCATAACCTCCCACTTTCATAGGAACATCATAAGATCAAAGTCCAATCGGGCCATTCCTCAGGTCTATTATATATCTAAAAGAATAAGAGAAAAATGGTGAATTTCTATGGTTTGAAATTGCCGTGGTATAGGCAGAAGATCTATCTGTCTGTACATGTGAGCACTTAACCTTATTATTTAGAAATTGCTTTAGTGCTATCAGTCACAAAGAGTGGGTATATCAGTGGCAAATCAAGAATTTAGGGTTTGAATTAGTCTAGATAGGAAACTAGATACATATGTGTGTACATGTGAGAACTTGACCTTATTATTATGAAATTCACTGAATGCTATCAAATACAAAATATGGCTGTCAAGTCTGTAGAATTCAACAAGTAATTCCTTATAAAGTCAGTGAGTTTAACCCCTTAACACTGGTCCTGTTCTTACCCACCTGCCTTCCTTTCGTTCTTTTAACCAACTTTTCAGGTGGTTTGCTCTGTTTCAACCCTGGTTAGCCCATGAATCTTACTCTTCATTCATTTACAATCCTTACACTGCTAAAACATGGAGCTTTAAAAGATCACCACAATACAGACTTTTCCATGCACTGACAGAATGATATGTAAACAGAAAATATAAAAAGATCTTGTCAAAATTCCAAGACCTCTCTTCCTTTCTCTCTGCACATAATTTGGGTGACTGTTATTTTACAAAGCATTTGTTCAAACAAAAGTCATTCTACCTCTCCCAAACTACATACAAAAACTAACCCAGAAAGCACACAGTTCTTCAGTGTTGAAGTCCCTGAAGAAAAAAAAAGTAGACAATGGCAGATTACGGTATCAACTCTGCCCCAGGCTCTAAAGCATGTATTGCTTTTGATAGTAGTAGTGGACGCACTCCATCTGAGGAACTTCATTCTACTGCCAACTTCAGTTTTCAATGCATACTTGTTGGCTTTTTTTAGCAGCTGCCCGGTATGGGGATATGAACCCTTCACCCTGGTGTTATAACGCCACATTCTAACCAACTGAACTAACCAGCCAGCCCCCTGCGATACATTCTTAATAATCATCCACAACGAACCCCAGTTCTAACAACTAGGGAAGATGTGAGAATTGCAAAACTTGAAAAGTGTGGAAAAAAGGTTTGCTTCCCAATATTTGGTTGTGGGAAACTACCCGATATACAGCTGAAAATTCTTTGGTACCAGATCAGCTCACCTTCAGACTGAAAGTTCTTTCCCACATGATAGTTGTGAGCATCCCAATACTTGGCAGGAAGTGATCAGTAAGTATCTGTAGAATGAACTAAATGAGTGAATGTAAAAATTGAATCAAAGTACTAGGAATGAGACATAAAAAAGATAGGGCCATATAATCCATGCATATCCAGATATGAATGGATGAATACAAGGAAGAAACAAGGTCACTGTGACTTTTTATATGCAGTTAAGAGGTTAAGTGCTCAGGGCATATGGTTTCTAAAGAAAGCTCCCAAAATCTCAGATGGAGCCATGCTGCTGGGACTCAAATCCTGGTTCTGCAACTCACTAGCAAGGCACCTTCAATAAGTCACTTAACCTCTCCATTCCTGAGTTTCCTGATCTTAAAATATGACCACAAATTCTTTGATACTCCTCTCTGCAGGAGGTAAAGCTTAATTCCCATCCCCTTCAATGTGGGTTTCACTTAGTGACTCACTTCTAATGAACAGAATATGGCAGACGTGACAGTATATGACCAGGCCAAAAAAGGCACTGTGGCTTCCTCAGCAGAAGAAGCCTCTCTCCTGGGTCACTCGCTCTGGGGGAAGTGTTGTAATGATATTCAAGAAGCCACAGGGGAAGGTCCACAGGATAAGAAACTGAGGCCACTGGCCAAAAGCCATGTGAGTGAGTCATCTTGAAAACAGATCTCCCAGCCCCAGTCAAGTCTTCAGATAACTGCAGCGACAGTTAAAAATGTCTTGACTATAACCTTATGATACCCTAAGCTAGACCCATCTAGCTAAGACAGTCACAAATTCCTGACCCTCAGTAGCTATGAAGTAATAAATTGTTGTCACTTTAAGCTGCTAAATTTGGGGTAATTTGTTACGCAGTTATTGCAAGGATTAAACCAGTTAATACATGTAAAGCACATAGAGTTCAGTGCTCCATTCATAGGAAGGGATCAGAAAATGTTATCCATATGGTGGTGGCTAAAAACATTCAAAAAGAAGATGTATTTTCATACACCAAAGGCAATCCTAAGAGAGGCTATATGTGACAACATTATCATGTAACTGTTATACATAGGCTTAATTAACATAGGCAAGAAAGAAAATCAGTCTGCAAAGTAAAAGGAACTAACGTGCATAATTTAGAGGTATTTTTCATATTATAAACCCCAATAGTGTGACTCAAAATCTCTTCACTACCATTTTTCTTCCTACCTCTTTAGAAGGCCACAGACAAACCCCAATTTGGCCCGTACCCCATCCTCCTGCTGCTCACACATCCTCTTAAACTCCTTTTCTCTTTTTCACAGAACTTTTGTCACATCAGGAAGATCTCTCTTTGACTTTCTTTTCATTCCATTTCTGAGATTTGAAAAAAAAATCACGGCTGATAGGTTTAAGTACTCTGATCAAGGAAAAGAAAAGTAATAAATTTTGAAGTGTTGTTAAATAAATCAATCTCTGAATATAATTACATCTGCCCTAGTTTAAAGGTAAAATAGAAAGCATGAATTAATTTCCTGAAGAAATATCACAATTAAAGATACATTAAAAATATAATTTATAATATCCCCAATTTGTTTAATCACTAGTTTTCATTTTGTATATGACATTTTAGCTACTTTAAAATTCTATTAAAATTCATACCTAACTATATCATCTCATATGATACAAAAATAATGTCAATTCCAATGCTGGCGAAGATAGAGAGAAACAATCTCTCACACATGTCTGCTGGTGGGAATGCAAAAAGGTACAACCACTCTACTGTTTAGCAGTTTCTTATCAAATTAAATATGCAATTATCATACAACCCAGTAATTGTACTCTTGGGCACCCATTCCAGAGAAATGAAAACTTATTTTCACACGAAACCTGCACATAAATGTTCATAGAAGATTTATTTCTAATACATAAAAACTCAAAACAACCCAGATGCCCTTCAATGGGTGAATGGTTAAACAAACTATGGTATATCCATACCACAGAATACTACTCAGCAACAACCACAAAAACAAACTATTGATACAAACAACTCAGATGAATCTCAAGTGAATTACACTGCATAAAAAACTGAATCTCTAAAGTTTACGTAATGCATAATTCTATGTATATAACATTTTTTGAAATGACGAAATTATAGAAATGGAAAGCAGATGAGTAGTTTGCAAGGTTAGGGACAAAGGAGGTGTGAGGGGTAGGGAGAAAGGTGAGTATAGTTGTAAAAGGGCAACCTCAGGGATCCTCGGTGATGGAATTGTTCTGTAACTTGACTGTGGTGGTGGAACAAAACACATACACACGCGTAAAACTGGGTAAACGGAAGTACATTTAGTGAATTATATCAACATCAATTTCTTAGATGTGATAGTTTTACAACATGGTGCCTTTGGGGAAAACTAGGCAAAGGGCACATACATGGGATATCTCTCTATATTATTTCTTAGAACTGGATGTGAAACTACAATGACCTCAAATTTAAAAGTTTTCTTAAACAAATTTAAATGTATGTTAACATTAGAAAATTTTAAGGAAGAAGTTATCAAACCACTTTTTATTAGGAGTCCATTATTTAAACTACATAAATCATTTATTTACGATGGCATAATAATGTCAACACATAAATAATTATATCAATGTCAATAAGGAGACTCATTCAGTTGGTAAAGCTAGACAGTGAAGCTATGTAGTTATGGATACATATGACTGATTTACTTATTTATTACTTATTATTCATTGCAGCTGGACAGTACAGGAATCGAGCCCTGGACCTTGATGTTATCAGCACCACACTCTTAACCAACTAAGCAAACCCACCAGCCCTGCATTTCTATTTTAAAGCCCTACCAGAAGAAGACTGGTCTTTTTCCCATTAATTTTTTTTTTGGCAGCTGGCTGGTATGGGGATCCCCAACTCTTGACCCTGGTGTTT